CACCCAGAAACCACGATCAAGATAATGAACAGTCCTATTGCACCTGAAAGTTTTTTCACGCCCCTTACCTAGAGAATTTTTCAAAATCTTTTAAAAGCCTCACCCCAGAACAGAGGAACTTTCTGGAGTGATGGAAGTATTCTGTATCCTGATCTAAGAGGTGGTCACACAGGTGTTAAAGTTCTTCCAGCTGTTTCCCTAAGATGCACTCACTTGACTGTATGTAAAACATCCAGTCCCTCTTGCTGCCTGGAACGTGGACCCAATGGCTGGAGCTTCGGCAGCCTTTCTGTACCATGAGGTGGCCTCAGACGCAGAAGCCAGGCATGGCAGAACCATGAGATGGAAGAAGCTGGGTTATCTAACTTTTCTCTGCCTGCCTGCCACTGCACCCCTCTATAGGAGAGAGGAATAAATCTCTGCCTTAAGCCGCTATAGAAATACCTGACACTTGCAGAATAGCTGATTGAATCCATTTGTATAATGGTGAGCTGACCTTTCCTGATCTAGATCATGAACCCATCGTATTCCCGTGCCCAGCACACGGTAAATACTCAACCCTGTGCGTGGCGGATGAAGGGCACTGACACGTCTTTGTCTCAAATCAGGACTGTGACTCAGTCCCCGGGGTCCACACAGAGGGATCTATTGATCCCTGCCCACCTGGAAGAATTATCCCCCAAGATCCGGCTGGGCCCAGGGCAGCTTCCACCTGGCCCGTGCCCCACACCCCAAACCCATGCCCTTAGTCAGGTTGCCAGATTTACCCCCAAAATGTACATGACACCAGTTAAATTTGAATTTCAGGTAAATAAGGAAATATTTTTTAGCATAACTATGCCCTTATGCAAAATTTGGGGCATACTTATACTAAAAAAAAAAAAAAGTTTATTTATTGCTTATCTGGAATTCACATTAATAGGGCATCCTGCGTATCTGACAACCCTGAACCCTCCTCCCCATCCCCACCCTTCCCCACCCTCACTCACCCCTCAGGTGCTGCCGCTGCCGCTTGTCCAGGGGGCTTGAAGGCCGCCCGCCCATCCTGCTGCGGCGTCCCGGGATCCCCTAGAGTGAAGCCGACACCCCTCTCCACCCCCCGGCTCCCCAGGTTCCTCTGCTCAGGGGCACTCTGGGAGCAGGCAGCCTGTGAGGATCCTGGATGCTATGGCGACCAGTGTCTGGGGTCAAAAAGCCAGAGCTTGGCCCTCCCATTGTGTGTGCTGGGGGGGGGAGGATGCCCGCCCCTGCCCCACTCAACCCTGCACCTGCGTCCTCCCAACTTCCCCTGGGGCCAAGGCCCCCAGAGCTGCTGGTTTCTGTAGGGGCTGCCCCAGCAGCCCCAAGAGTGGGTACAGGGGTGGGAGACAACAATTCTGCTGGCTTTGGAGGAGGGATGCGGGGCAGATATCTGGCAGGATCAGCAACCAGTTGTTGGTGTGAGGGAAGGAAGGATGAGCAGGGATGGGGTGTCTATCCCCCTCTGATGCCCACCCTCTGGTGCCCTCCCCCGTGCCTGCCCCATGCTGGGCAATGCTGAGAGGATTCAACCCTAGCCCAGCCCCTAGAATCCCTAGGCTGGGGAGCGAGAGCTGGCCCCCCACCCCCCACATCCCTGGAGTCAGTGTTGAGACTGAGGGAGCAAGCAGTGGGGTCCCAGATGAGGGGGGAATGGGAGGTGTGGAGATTTAAGGGGGTTACTGGGTACTTCCTGACCTCCAGCACGATCCCTAGCCCCACCAAGCAATCACCTCATCTCCATTTAATTCTTTTTTTATAATCTTTACTGTTGAAAGTATTACATATGCCCCTTTCTCCCCCACTGATGTCTTCTAGCCTGCCTTCATGCCCCGCCCCAGGCCTTCACCACCCTATTGTCTGTGTCCATGGGTTATGGAATGCTGGGTTTCTTAACGGTTATTTGTGCAGGGACACAGACTCACAAACAGTTCTGTCTTTGGGATGCTGTTGGGGTCCTGCCCCAGCAGGTCTGGGGTTCCCCAAGGTGTGGACGGAGTCGGCTAAGAAGGAATGACACAGAGGCAGCGTTCAGTTGATCATCATAGCGAGGTTCTCCAGCCAGATTCTGTCGCCAGGTTCTCCAGCCAAGTTCTAATTTCTCTTGCCATGTTCTCTCGCTAGGTTCTCCAGCCAGGTTCTGTGTCTCCATTTAATTCTTTTGACTATTAAAGGTGCCCTTACTCTCCGGCCCCAGCCTCCAGCCCAGCACACTCCAAATTCCATGACCTCTAGCACCTCCCACCAGGCCCTGCAGAGCCCGAGGCTCCTCTCTCAGTGACCCCCTCCAGCCCCAGCAGCCCGCATGACCATCATAGGCACACTGACAAAACTGTCAGATAACGGTGAGAGGAAGGGAGAAGAATGGAACAGGAGGGGACAGGAAACGCTAGGGGCAGGGAGGAGATGCTGCACCAGGACCGAAGAAAGTGCGAAAAGCTGGAGGACAGAGAATCGGCGGGGGGCACAGCGCATGCAAAGGCCCTAAGGTGGGAACAGCACAGAGTGGGTGGGACGGAAAAGGGAGAGTGAGCGGCAGATGTTACGAGGGGAGAGTGGGGGTTACAGGGGCCACCCAGGGGCTTATGGGCCAATAGGAAGGGTGGGCTTCCCTCCAGGTGAAAGGGAGCCACAGGCAGGTCTGTGCAGGGACAGCTGCCGTCATGGGGAGGGGCACGGAGAGGTGATGTCTCAGGAAGGGCCCCCCAGTGAGGTCCCCTGCCATTCTCAGCATTTTCCCTCTGCTCTAGCCACCCTGCCCCGGACTCCGCCCCAGGGGTCATGGCCACCTGAGCTTGCTCAAGCCCACGGCTGGGCAACCTTCCTTTCGGCTGCCTCCTCTGCTTTCTCAACCTGTTTCCTTCCGACCAGGCCCCGGCCCACTTCCTCACTCTCACATCTGAGAGACTGGCCCCAAGACGTTGAAGGAAACTTCTCTTTCTGTGGTTTCGGCTTTGAGCTTTCAATTCCCGTGTCCCCTTCAGGCGCATCTGCGGGACGCCTCCAGGCCCCCAAGCTTCCCACTCTCTGCTGAGGTCCCAGGAGCCAGAGAAGCTGGGTGGGCCCAGCAGATGGAAAGGCTGCAGTCCTGGCACAGTTGAGACTAAAGAGGCCCTCTGACACATTCAAGGCTCTGGGCAGGCCTGCAGCGGGACTGGGTGGAGGTTAAGACCGGCTCTGGCCCTGGCTGGTGTGGCTCAGTTGGTTGAGCGTTGTCCAGGCACCAAAAGGTCTTCTGTTTGATTTCTAGTCAGGGCACAATCCCAGGTCAGGGCACGTGTGGGAAGCAGCCAATTGATGTTCCTCTCACATTGATGTTTCTCTCTCTTTCCCTTCCTCTCTCTAAAATCAATAAAAACATATAAATAAAAACATTTGCTGTGTGTGTGCAATGGGAACTCTGCCAGTGCGTGTAGTGGGTTGAATTGTGTAACCCTGGAAAGAAACATCCACAGGTCACTATAAAAAAAACACAGAAAACAACCAATGGTGATGATATGAAGAAACTGGAACCCTCGTACACTGTTAGTGGGAATGTAAAATGGTACAGCTGCTGTGAAAATAGTATGGAGGTTTCTCCAAAAATTAAAAACAGGCCCTAGCCAGTTTGGCCTGCGGACTGAAGGGGCACATGCCCAGGTTGCAGGCTCAATCCCCAGTAGGGGGCGTGCAGGAGACAGCCGATGGATGATTCTCACTCATCATCGATGTTTCTCTCCCTCTCCCTTCATCTCTGAAATCACTGAAAATATATTTTTAAAAAATTAAAAACAGAATCACCATCGGACCTAGCATTTCTACTTCTGGGTATATCCCCAAAAGAATTGAAAGTAGGGTCTCAGAGATAGTTGTACACCATTGTTTATAGCAACATTATTCACAAGAGCAAAACCATGGAAGCAACCCAAGTGCCCATAGATATGAATGGAGAAGCAAAATGTGGTCCATCCACAAAGTGGATTATTCAGCCATAACAGGAAGGAAATTGTAACACATGTGACAACATGGCTGACTCTGAGGACATGATGTTGAGTAAAAGCAGACACAAAAGGACAGACACTGTACGATCCCATTTACATGAGGCCCCTAGAACAAATTCACAGAGACAGAGTAGAGTGGGGGGCTAGTGGAGGAGGAGATGGAGCTACTGATGAATAGGACAGAGCTTCAATTTGGGAAGATGGTAAGTTTTGGAGATAGGTGGTGGGGATGGTGGTACAACAGTGTGACTGTACCATTTCTGGATACCTAGAGATGGTTAAGATGGTGAGCTTTACATTATGTGTATTTTAGCACATGCACACGCACACAGGCACACATATACATACACGATACAGTGGGGCCTTGACTTACGAGTGTCCCGACTAACGAGTTTTTCGAGATACAAGCCGTCTCTCGGCCGATTTTTTGCTTTGAGTTGCGAGCTAAAATTCGGGTTACGAGCCAGCTTCAAATACCCCACCGCTAGTTGGCGCAGCCAACGTCACAGTGAATGCCACATCAGCCCAGCATCACGTGTCTCACTCGTTCACTGTTGATTTGACATACGAGTAATTTGAGTTACGAGCTCGGTCACAGACGAATTAAACTCGTAAGTCAAGGCCCCACTGTATGTCCATGTCCTAACCCGGGAACCTCAGAAGGTGACCTTATTTGGAATAAGGGTCTTTGCAGATATAATTAGCGAAGGATCTTGAGATGAGTTCATCTTGGACGTAGGGTGGTCCTAAGCCTTGTGAGGACAGGCAGAGCCTGGAGTGATGTTGTCACCAGCCCGGGGTTGCTGGCAGCCCCCAGAGGAGCCTGGGAAGACTTTCCCTCAGAGCCTCCAGACGGAGCCACCCCTGACACCACAGGACTGAGTCAGTAAATGCTGTGGCACCTGCTGCACGGCCCCCGGAAACCGAGCGCCGATACCATTCCTGTCCTCCACCTGCTGGGATTAGGGCTTTGAGTCGGCCTGGGAGCCCCTTGTCCCACTGCCCACCAAGGACCACCAGGCAGTGGAAACTTGGAGCAAGTGCTCCTTTTATTATAGTTTTTAAATGTTTTTATTGATTTCAGAGAGAGGAAGGGAGAGAGAGAGAGAGAGAGAGAGAGAGAGAGAGAGAGAGAGAAACATTAATGAGAGAGAAACATCAATCAGCTGCCTCCTGCACACCCCCTACTGGGAATCAAGCCCGCAACCCAGGCATATGCCCCAACCAGGAATCGAACCGGCGACCTCCTGGTGCATATGTCGATGCTCAACCAGCTCAACCACTGAGCTACACCGGCTGGGCCAAAGCTCCTTTTAATATCTGGGCAGAGCCAGTGGCCAGGCCCTGTCAGCACCATGTGGCTTTTCTAACGTGAAGCCTAGAACACAGCGGTGGAGGGGCCCAGCCCCCTCAAGCCGCAATGGTCCAACGGTGGTGTCCCCGGGGACCAGCTACAAAGTGGAGTGCTTCTCGAAGGGCACGGTCAGGAGTCGGGCTGCTGCCTCATCCAGGAACCAGCAGAGTTTCCCAGTGTGGGGCTGCACAAGGGCGGCAGGGAGCGGGCTGGCCTCCTTGTCCTCCAAAATGCGCTGTGTGAAGAGGAAATGCTGGTGAGGCCCGGCCGCACGCCCGGCGCCCCTCAGAGCTCGCAGGCCCCCGTGGACTAGACTCTCCTGCTCTCAAGACGTGATGTCAGCCTTCCAGCTGCCCCAGCTTAAAACAGTGAGCAGGGACAGGCCCTTCCCTTCTAGCTCCCGTGACTGTAGAGCATGGTGTTGGCACACCTTTCCTGCAAAGACCAGAGAGTCGCTATTTCGGCTCACGTTGGCATATGGGCATCTGTGTTCCAACAAATCATTGTTGGTGAACACTGACATCTGAATTTTGTTGAATTTTCACATGTCTGGGAATATTCTTCTTTTGATCCACCTCCCCCCCCCCCCCCGAAACTTAAAAAGGTACAAGGGAAAAACCCTTCCTGGCTGGCAGGACTGGCACACGGGCTGTGGGGTGTCAACCGGCTAATGTGACCTCATGGTGGATGGA